CCCCAAAACCCCAAAACCCCAAAACCCCAAAACCCCAAAACCCCACAAATTTATTATGGAATTGAAATAATAATTTCGTGTAAAGATGAACTACAGTTCGGTCCTCTCCCTCAGCAGCAAAGGTGGCGATCAGCCAAAAACTGGCTACAAAGCTCATGTGTCCCACTCCTCGACTCCGTCAAAGAAGTCCAGTAGCGAAAGCAGCCTTGACAGAATCAGCAAGTCAAGAAACCACTTTGAGGTCGAACTCTTGGATAATGAAAATGAGAAGTTTCTGCAAGACAGTTCAAGCTTCATGGATAAATAAGTACAACTTCGATGCCAGAGAAGTCCAGGTCAAGAACCGAGTCCGAGACTACGCTGTCACTGCTCTCAATGTGGTCTGGACGGCTGTGGCCTACCTAGCATTAGCTCTGTCGATGTTTCTGTCCAACTATGTCTACTCAATCAATAAGCTGAATCCATGGGAAGATATTTATGGCAAATCGCTTGTCGGAGTGATGCTGTCATACTTGCTCATGAGAGTGCAAGGCATTTCTCCTTTCGAACTGTACAGCCACATCCGAGTCAGAATATTCGTGATGGAGGCCATTTTCATCACAGCGCTGTGCCTCATCATGTATGGAGTGCAACAAGTCAGCATCCTAACGAGCGCTAGTTGTCTGATTCTGTTCTTTGTGTTTACAGACCACTATTTTGGGCTCACAAACATATTCATATTCATGGCAATTGTAGGGCTGACTGTTCTGGCTAACCCATTCGGGATATTGCGAGCAGGTCAAAACCAAGAAATTCCGGTGATCTGCCTTGCTCTTGGGTCAATACTGCTGGTGCTTGGCAGGAACTCGTCCGACTATGTGCGACAGTGACTGCCTATTTCGACTGGAACTTTCTACTTCTACTTGTTGTGAGTAATGGTGGTCCCAGCTCTGATGATAGCTTCTTTCTCGATCGGCTCAGTACAGATAAGCTACGGATTCTTTGAGATTGGCTACTTCTTGGTCAACGGCACACTGACCTGGTTCGCCATCTGGCTGGTTGTCAAAGTGATGAGCTTCGACAAAGAAAACTACCTGGAGACTCTCGCATATACAATCATTGTGTACTCGATATTGCTCACGATGATTGTGAACAAATACAAAACAAATGATGGCTCTGGAGAAACGGAGCCTCAACAAGGCCAGTCTCCTAGTTCTCCGGAAGTAGCTCCTACCAGCGAAGGAGTGGCAGATCTGGGATTTTGGGAATACTTGGGAATCGCAGTAATGATAGGGTTGAGGTTCGTATATTCTGTATATAAGATGGCCAAGTATTAGTGAATTTGGTTAATACCATTAATTTTAAAACTTCAATGAGAAACTTGGTTATTGGGGTTTTGGGGTTTTGGGGTTTTGGGGTTTTGGGGTTTTGGGGTTTGGGGTTTTGGGG